CCCCTCCCACCCCGCTACTCCCGGGGATGCTCGGCCCTGCCCAGGGGCCGCTCTGTACCCGCCGCTGCCTCCCCCGCTGCTCTCACGGTGGGGGGGGATCCGGCCCTAAACTGTTGGGGTGACCCCGGCTCCCGGGGACGCTCCGCCATGGCGGGGAGCCGGCGGCGGCAGGGCCCGGAGTCGGCAGCGTGCCGCAGGCAGCCGGTGCGGCGGATGTCAAAGCGTTCGGCTCACCTCCTCCCCGGTGCCGTTCTCCCCGGGGAAAACCACCGGCATCGCTCCGGCCTCCCTGGCTGCGGCCGTGGGGTGAGCAGCGGGCGATGCCGAAGCCGCGTTCCCGTGGGATGGCAGCTCCTTGAAACGCTCGGAGCTGCAGGAGATCAGCTCCCGCTCGCTCCCCTCTGTCCTTGAGCGGGGCCGGCCGGCCGTGACCTTCGCGCCGTGCCGGCTGCGGTCCCACCACGGGAGCCGGGGAGCGCTCCATCCCGTAGCCATGCCCTCCCCAAAAATGCTCCGTGGTGGAGGATCAGCCTGGGAGTGGGGAAAAAAATTGCTGCTTTAATCCCTTGGCCCCCCGGTGAGAGATGGAGCCCGTTTGCCGACCCTGTGCCGGGAGCGGCCGTGGGCAAAAGCTCCCGCCAATGCCGACGTGCCGGGATCTGCTCGGTGGGATTCACCATCCCAGCCCCGAGTGCTAATTATTTGGAAGCTTTTTTTATCTCGTGGTGTTTATAGGAGTATTATTTGGGGAGAGGCATCGCAGCCGGAGCCGCTGCCGCTTCGCCGCCACTGGCAGCATCAGCTCCGGCTCGGCGCGGCCGTGGGGGGATGATGGTGAAGGGCTTTGCAAGGCGGGGATCCGCATGGGACCCCCCGAGTCCCCAGGGAGGGGGCTTTGCCGTGGGACGCCCGTCGCTGGGGGTGCGGAGGGCGGTGGGTGGCTGAGCTGGGTGGCGGCACCCGTGATGGCTCCTGGGTGCCGCAGCGGCGGTGGCAGGCGGGGACGGGTGGCCGGGGACCTCGGGGTGCTTCCGCTGCTGTGCGAGGCCTCAGGAAACGGCGCTTTCCGTCTGGCTGGGTGGCAGCAGGTTGGAAACCTTAAGCCAAAAAATGAGCAGAAAAAGGGGAAAGCGCTGCTCTAGGCCCTCGCCGCCACCCGGGCCTCCTCCATCCCGAGGGAAAGCCCTTTCCTGGGAGCCGGGGGGCACCCAGGGGGCTGAGTTTTGGCCAGACGGGAACATCTTGTGAAATCGGCTGTCCCAATCTCGCTTCCTCCTTTCGCAGGTTCCCTTCCCCCTCACCGTGGCCGGGGGGGCAGCGGGACTCCCGGGGGTCGGGGACAGGGGGGGTCCCTCCGCCCTCACCCACCCCGGCCACGTTCCTTGACTCAGGATTCAATTTTTCCACCTCCTGAGCTTGTGAGATCAGTGATGGAGCAGGAGGTGATGGGTTGGGAATCTCCCGGTGGGGCACAATCCGGATTTGGCATGTTGCCATGGCGATGTTGTGAGAGCATGTCAGCGCATACCAGTTTTGGGCTGGACATCCCAAACTGGGAGAGCTGGTGGGGCAAAGCCTGGCAGAAAAGTCAACGGTGGAGTCTGGGGGATCCAGACCGCCGCCGGGAAGAGGACGGATAACCCACCACATGCTGAGAAATGGGGAATTTAGGTTTATTCCCCAAAAGTTGGCTTCTTCCCAGTGAGGGTGCCGTGGCAGATGCCGCTTTGGCAGAGCGACGGGAGGGTTGTCCCCGTGCCAAGCGGTTTGGGATGTGCCAAGGTGGCTTTTTGGGATGGAGCAGAGGAAGGAGAGCATCTTTGCTGCCGGAATGGGGATGTTCGGATGCTCCCGCTTGGAGGAGTCGGGATTTTTTCCCCCTCTGTGCAGGTCAAGAGGTAGCAATCGGGAATATACAAACGAAATTGTGAGTGGAGGGTGTGGTGGAGCCGAAAATAGCTGGGGGGGTTCGGCTGGAGCCTTGGGGACGGTGGCTGATGGGGACGGGGACTGCTCCGGCCAGGAGGTTTTGCTGGCAGGGGCTCTGCTGCTGCTCCTTCTCCTGGGACCTGGGGGAGAGCGCGGCAAACGTCACCGCTGCAGATGTTTGCAGATGTGCTGTTGGCCTCAGTGGTCGGGGACTGGTCACCAGCGAGCCCTGGCCGTGGTGTTGGCCTTAGCTCAACCAGGAAAGAAAACTGATGCTCGGCTTTTTGCTGGATCCATCCCCAGTCCAATCCCGGCATGGTGGCCAGGTCCGGCTGGGGGGCGGCGGTGGGGTGTCCCCACGGGGTACGCGTGCCCTGGGTAGGGAGGGAAGCGGCCTGTGAGCTGAGGGCTGCCATACGGGGCCGGAGCAAGCCCTGGCTGAATCAGGAGAGCGTCTCAGTGCAGGGATCCCCCCGGATGCCTGGACCCAGCCCTGGCTGACATAGGGGCGCACCCCGGCGCAGGGATCCCCCCGGGCACGGGCGCAGGGTGGGCAGGCAGGCACCCGGTGGGGATGCGGGCGCGGTGGCTGGATCAGGCTCATCTCCCCAGCCTGTGCTGACAGCAGCTTCTGCTTGTTCTTAAAATAGAGCCGGGAGCAGCAGGCGGTAGCGGCCGCTCATCCCTTAGCCCGCTCCTCGCCGCCCTCGCAGCAGGATCTGGCCATCGGCAGGGACCCGTCTGCTCCTCCGCCGGCTTGTCCCTGCCTGGCACATGGCGGGTTTGGGACCCGGCTGGATCCAGGGAGACTCCCTGGTGGGATGAGCTGGTCCTGGGAGCATTGCCCAGCCCGGCTTGCTGCACGCTGGGCATTGGGTGAGCCCTGGGTGGGCCTGATCCTGCTGGATGCCCGGTGCTGAGCCTTGGGAAGAGGCAGGAGGATGGGTCTGGTGGCAGTCGGGGTCACTGTAGGGGACACCGCAGGGCTGGGCATGCCCCAGACCCCCTTGGGTGGGAGCATCGCGCTCCGTGGCCATGAGGGATGGGGCATCCCAGGAGTGGTGTGGTCCATCAGCCGCCAGCCCGGGCACTCGGTGACATTAGTCTTTCCCGTGGCCAACCGGTTGGTGGAAGCCCCTAAACCGCCATCTCGGGGCTGCTGCGGCCCCTTCCCTGCGGCGGGCAGGGTTGGTACCCGATGTCCGCACCGGGATGCTCTCCGGTGCCACGTGCCATCGACGCTTTCCATCCCCGCTCCGTGGATGCGCATCCCCCACGTGCCCCAGAAACGATGCTCCCGTGGTTCAGTGTGGTTTTCACTCGAGCCCGTCGGTGTTTTGCAGAGCAAACACTTCCGTAAAGGATGCTTTGAATTTTTTGTGCTGAGGTTTGGTGCAGAGCCCGGCTCTGTTCAGCTCTGCCTGCTCGCGTGCGGAACAAAAAGAAGGTGTCTGACACCCAAAATAGCTCCACCCCCCCGCCATCGGCAGCCCCGGCGCTGTGGGTGCTGCGATATGAAAAGGTCTTTTCGTACCGGAAAATGATGTAGGAGCTGCTCTGCCTCCCCCAGTCTTAGTTTCTGGTCTTGGGTTAAGCCCAGCTCAACCCTGCAACAAACCCACCCTGCGATGGGGGGGTCCCGGCCGGCCGCATCCTGGCGGCAGGCAGGGGTGGGATGGCACCGGGGGCTGCGTGGCCCCTCGTGTCCCAGGAGGGTTGGTGGAGGACATTTGGTGGCAGTTCAGTACCGCGGTGGCTGTGACGCTGCTGGCAGGCTGTGGGGGGAGATGGGGAAGCCCCACGCCAGGGTGGGATGAGGGTGCTGAGTGCTGGCTGGAGGGTGCTGGGTGACGGGAGGTGGGATGTGGCTGCTGGGGGCCCCGTGGCCCCTCCATCTTTGGCAGCCAAGGAGGAGGAAGGCCAAGTCCTTCCTCTGCCACCTCTGGGGTGCTGGGCTGCTGCCCTGCCCCACGTCTCCCACCCGGACCCACGTCACCCGCTCTGCCCCACACTCCCCACCCTGCCCCACACCTCCCACAGCGCCGGTTCCCCCCTCCCCAGCAGGAAATGAGAACCAGTTTCTTCGCGCTGCCGGCTGACGCCGGGGACCACAACGGAGCCACTTCCTCCCCGCCGGCACCACGTGCCTGCCCGGGGCCGTGGTGGGATGCAGCCACCGCCCAGTTTGTACCCGAACCGTGCCACATCCTGCTGCCCGGCCCAGCCCTGCTTGCGAGGAAGGGACCGTGGGGCTCGGTGGCAGAGCCACCTCCATAGGCATGTCCCCGGCATCCCTCTGCCCCGCCTGCATCCTCATGGCAGGGGGCCCATGGGAGGTCCTGTCCCACCGGTGACGCTTGGTCCTGGTCTTTCCGGGTCCCACACATGGTCTCTGGAAGAGGTGGTCCACGTGGTGGGTGCCACCATCCCCTTTCTGCTGAGGGCACCCAACAGAGCATCCCACAGAGGGTGCCACGGGTGCTGCCAGAGCCCTGGGTGGGGTGTCTGGGTGTGTGGTCCCTCTTGGCACAGCCCTGCCCCTTGGCCTGACCCTTCTGGGGGGTCTCATCCATCCCAAGGATGACAGCTTGGGGACCACGGGGACAGGGCTCCCCAGCAAAGGGGACATCCAGGTGCTGCTGCCACCTTGCCGGTCCCAGGACCCACCTGGCAGCTCCGATGCAGCACCGACGGCTTTGCAACGAGGCTATTTCTGACCCTGCAGCCTAATTTTACCCTCCCTGCCCAGCTCTCTGTGCGAGCCATCCCCGGCCAAATCCAGCCCAGCGCTGGCTCCTCTCCACCCACGTCTCCTGGCTTTGGCTTCTTGTGAAAGCTGCTCGACAGGTCCTTGGTGGAAGCGGGTGGTGAGGTTTCCTCTCAGGCCCGTCACTGTGGCACCTCTCCTCTTGGACCTGCTCCTCAGTGAGCAACCAAACCCCTGCGAGATGCCTTTTCCCCAGGGATGTGTGTGTCCCAGGGGTGCGTGCACCTCACATCCCCATCCTCAGCATCAGGGGACCCCAAAACTGGAGGTTAAGGGTGACTTGGGGCGGCGCATCGCCTCCCCGTGCCATCGTGCCAGCTTGCCCAGGCTCTCCGGGCCAGCAGCAGCCTCAGTTCCTGCTTTTCCCTGGAGGCCGGATCACCAAGAAATGGGTCTTTTGGGAAAATAAATCAGCCATGACCCGAGCTGAGCTCCCAGCTCCATGGTGGGTGCCCCATTAAAGGCTCTGCTGGTCACCCCATGGTGGACGCGCTGTGTCCCCGAGCACCCAGAGGCAGGAGCTGCACCCAGGGCCTCCCGGAGCCCCCAGCCGCAGTGCAGAGCAGTTTTGGCAGCTGCCCCGTGCCGTTCGGAGAGCGGAAACCATGTCGCATCCTGCCGGGGCGGCCCTGGGGGAGCGGCGGGGGCCAGGGTTGTGCAACAGTGGCACGGAGGGATGTGGTGACACGCCAGACCCTGCCCTGACATCATGTCTTTAAAGAAACACTGATTTCACCAGCCAGGCTCATCTTGCACCCGCAGCGGGGGGGACTCGGAGGTGACCGTCACCCTCGAGCGGGGCCCAGACTCCTGGGTTCCTCAGCTGTGTCACCAGCCTGTGTCCCTGTCCCTCACCCCAAGTGGCTCTGCCGGAACTGGGCTGGCTGAGGCCAGGAGTGTTGTGCACTCATGACATGAATGGATGGGCCCAGTTTTCCCTTCTGTCCCCCACTAACACCCCCTGCCCTCCGCCTCGGGGAACCCCAGGTGGGGACGTTGCTGATGGGCTGGTGGGATGCCAACATCCTGGGAATGGTAGCACCCCCGTCCTCCCACCCCTGTCCCCATCACCCCACCGCTGAGCAAGGACACCCGGTGCTGGGCGAGCAGCGGGCGCTACAGCCCCGGGGGGTGTGTTTGGGGGTGACCCCCAGCCCTGACACCCCTCACCCCGCAGAACTCCATGAACCTGCCCCCGGACAAGATGGAGCTGCTCAACCAGTACGACAATGAGAAGAAGTGGGAGCTCATCTGCGACCAGGTGAGGTCTGGGCGTCACGGTGTCCCCAGTGCCATCCCTGTCCCCAAGCGCTACTCGTGGTGTGGGCATCAACCCGGCACGTGCCGAGCGCTGACATCCATCTCCGTTAGCGATACAGCACCTTATTAACCTGATTAAACACTGGTGCAGCGCGAGGGGTGGGGACAGGGACACGGTGGCTGCCGCGGGGATGGTGGCATGTCCCCGTGCCACGGACGGGTGGCCCGGTTTCAGCCTCTCTCCGGGGCTCGTAGGAGCGTTTCCAGGTGAAAAACCCACCATCCGCCTACATCCAGAAGCTGAAGAGCTACTTGGACACGGGTGGCGTAAGCAGGAAGGTGAGGGCTCCCCCTTCTGCCCCTTGTCCCCATCCCGGCTTGGGTGCAGGGACGGTGCCAACGGCTCTCCCCGTCCCCCAGTTCAAGAGGCGAGTGCAGGAGTCGACGCAGGTGCTCCGGGAGCTGGAGATTTCCTTGAGAACAAACTACATTGGGTAAGGAAGGGAGACCTGGGGGTGGCCTCATTGTCACTGGCGTGCTGGGGTGACAGCGGGATGTGGAGGCTGGTGGCCTCATCCTGCCCCTCTGGGGTGGCTCTGATGGGAGGACGGGGGTGCCGAAGCAGCTGGCTGTGCCATGGGCGCTGTAGGACCCGAACCCCATTTTGTCTCTCTGGTCCCCACCCGGGGTGCCCTGGCCCCTTGCGGTGTGGTGCGTGCTGAGCCGTGGGTGCCACCCAGGGCTGGGCTGTCCTGTCGTGGTGGCAGCAGTGGCAGTGGTGGCAGCTGTGTCCCCCCAGGCATCAGGAGCAGGGGTCACTATGGCACCCACCTGCCTCGGAGAGATGCCAGCTCATGCTGCCACCTCCTGTCCCCAGGGTGTCCCACCCTCGCTCGGGACCTCTGACCAGGGGGTGGCTTCGCTGAGGGTCTGGAAAGGGAGAAGGGAGGATGAGGAGGGCTGGCGGAGCCCACTAACCCCCTGCACCCCCCAGCTGGGTCCAGGAGTTCCTCAACGAGGAGAACAAGGGGCTGGACGTGCTGCTGGAGTATCTCGCCTTCGCCCAGTGCTCCGTCACGTATGTCCCCAACCGGGCGCCCCTTCCCCAAGGCTGGGATCAGCCTCCCCTGGGACTCGGAGGGGCTGGGGGGACCCCACCATCGGAGCGATGGAGCTACAGATGCTCTGTGGCTGGGGTTGAGCAGAGCATCCCCAACGTCACCAGCGCTGGGGACCCCAGGGGGGTGCCTGCCCCTGTCGGCAGGCACCGATGTCCCCATGGGCCTCCAGGTACGACATGGAGAGCACCGAGAACGGCAGCCCAGGCTCCGACAAGGGCAAGGTCCTGGAGCGGTCGCTGGAGGACCTGAGCAAAAGCAACTCCTTGTCCCCCACCCAGGGCTCCTCCAAAGTGCGGCACCTCACCGTCAGGTAACGCATGGTCCTGTGCCACCCACGTCCCCCCATCCCTGCGCCGTGTCCCCCCGCTCTCTGCCTCGCTGCACCCCCTGCCGCGCCGTGCTCGGAGAGGGGTTTGGCAGGGAGATGCAGGCCTGGTCCTAAAAATGGGTCCACAGTGCTGGGGGGGGACACACACAAAGCCACGTCCCCATGTGTGTGCGCAAGGGATAAACCCTGCCTGGAGCTGGGCTGGATCAGTGCCCCCAGCTCAGCACCGCCACGGTTGTGGGATGCTCTGGGTAAAACCCATGAATAAGCAAAAATTGGAGGTGCTTGAGATTTTGGGGGAGCAAATCCCCAAAACCCCCGGGTTTAAAACCGGGGCGGAGGAACGGGCCTGCGCCCCCGCAGCCGGTCCCGGTGGCCGGTGGCTCTCGCTTGGCGCCTCTCACCCCCGCAGCCCCCTTCTAACCCCGCTCTTCTCTTGCACGCTGCCGGGGGACGCACTGACGGTAGGTGACGGGGCCGGGGCGCTGGCGGGACGGGGACGCCCCGGTGGGACCCCGCTGCCGGTCACCGGTGTTGGGGACGGTGCCTGTGGGGCATCCTCGGCAGGCAGGGGGGTCCCAGGGGACACTCAGCCACGGTCACCCCGGGAGCCGTAACGTGGCACCTCGGGGGTCCCTTGCCGCCTGCCAGCAGCTCCGGAGGAGCCGGGGTGTCCCCCCGAGCCCCAGGGACAGGTCAGGAGTGACGTGGCACCCACGGGGGGTCCCAGCCCTTGTCCCCTACCCGTGTCCCCAAGCCCAGGTGTCCCAGGGGCCACATGAGAGCCCCATTTCTCCCTCCTGTCCTGCAGGCTCTAACGTGCCTCCAGCTGCTGCCTCTCGAACCAGCACCTCCACACCCTCCTCCGCCACGTCCACCCCAGCGTCCCCTGCAGCGCCCCGGGCAGCGATGGGGACAGTAGCCCCAGGTCACCCGGCAGCTCCTGCCCGCCCCGGTGAGCCTCCGAGACCACCTGTGTGCACGAGGGGCACCCAACCTCCATCCCACCCCCACCACCACCCCACCAGCCCAAGGGCTTGTAGACGGGCACGGACATGGGGTTCTGTCCTGTGGGGGTGCAATCACCCAGGTCCCCTGGTGTCCCTCAGCCCCTGCTGCCACCCACCCATGCGCTGCCCCCTCCCCGCTTGCGCTGGGCGCCCCGGCTGTCCCTCCCCCGGCCCCCGCTCAGCCGCCCTCTCGTCCGCCCAGGCTGAACCCCTCGCACAGCAAGAAGGCGCTGAGGAACTCCCGCCTCGTCAGCCAGAAGGACGATGTCCACGTCTGCATTATGTGTCTCCGTGCCATCATGAACTACCAGGTGTGAGAGGGCAGCATCCTTGGGGACCCAAGGACCTTGGGGACCCACCTGGGGCTCCCCAAAAGCCTGCGGGACCATCTTCAGGGTCAGGGTTGGGGTGGGATGGGACCCGTTCTCCATCCCCTTGCTCCGAGATGTCCTCACTCAACGTCATGTCTGGTGGGGACGTGGCATGGGGACGTCCCAAGGTCCTGGAGCATCCCTGGGGTGGGGACAGGAGGATGCACAACCCCATTAATGCTCTTTCCGCGCCCCCCCCAAGTCTGGTTTCAGCCTGGTGATGAACCACCCAGCCTGTGTCAATGAGATCACCCTGAGCCTCAACAACAAGAATGCCAGGTAGGACCTGTCTTCTGTCCTCCTGTCCCTCCGTCCCCTTGCCCGCCCCATGGCCCCGACCCCCTCATGCCCCGTGTCTCCGCAGGACCAAGGCGCTGGTGCTGGAGCTGCTGGCCGCCGTCTGCCTGGTCCGAGGTGGCCATGACATCATCCTGGCCGCCTTCGACAACTTCAAGGAGGTGAGTCCCCAGCAGGGACACGTGGTCACCACGCTGACGCGCGTGCTCCGGCTGGCTTTGTGCCTCAGTTTCCCTATGTGTGGCAGAGCCCTGCAGCATCAGGGCATCCTCCATCCTAAAAATGCCCATCCCATGACTCGCGCGGGGATGCTCTGGCTGTTGGGCTTGATGTCCCCATGCCAGCACGTGTCCCCAGGGCCATGTCCCAGCTGGACCAGGCGCTAGGCAGCACCCGGCAGGGCTGGGACGGTGTCACCAGCGGGTGCCTCCTGCCCCGCTACCCCCTGGGTGCCCACCCTGGCCGTGTCCCTCCTGGCCCTCAGGCCCATGCTCCCACCCCAGGTCTGCGGGGAGAAGAACCGCTTCGAGAAGCTGATGGAGTATTTCCGAAATGACGACACCAACATCGACTTCATGGTGAGCGGCTGGCGGGGCTGCTGCTCCGCCATCACCAGGGCATTGTGTCCCCTGGGTCCATCCCCAGGGTGCTGTGTCCCAAGGGCTGTCAAGCCACCATCCTGTCCCCAGGGCACTGTGTCCCCAAGGGCTGCCAAGCCATTGTGCTGTCCCCAGGGCATCGTGTCCCCAAGCGCTGCTTGAGCCACCAGGCTCTCCCTAGGCCATCACGTCCCCAAGGGTTTCTCAGCTGCCGTGCTGTCCCCAGGGTGGCATGTCCCCAGGGGCTGCTGAGCCACTGTGCTGTCCCCAGGGCATCATGTCCCCAAGGGCTGCTGAGCTGCTCGTCCTTCCCCAGGTCCCCATGTCCCCTGGGCTGTGAAACCACCATGCACTCCCCAGGGGCACCGTGTCCCCAGGGGCCACTGAAACACTGCGCAATCCCCAGGGCACCGTGTCCCCAAGGACTACCGGGCCATAGTGCCGTGCCAGTGGCTGTGCTGAGCCTGTGCCCGTCCCACAGGTGGCCTGCATGCAGTTCATCAACATCGTGGTGCACTCTGTGGAGAACATGAACTTCCGCGTCTTCCTGCAGTACGAGTTCACCCACCTGGGGCTGGACCACTACCTGGAGGTGGGTGATCCTGCACCGCCCTGGTGCTGAGCCCCGATGCCGGAGGTGGGGTAGGTGCTGGGGGGGTTGCCATTGGCCGTGACGGTGCCACCGGCTGTCCCATGGCAGACCCTCCGTCTCACCGAGAGCGACAAGCTGCAGGTGCAGATCCAAGCCTACCTGGACAACGTCTTTGACGTGGGTGCCATGCTGGAGGACTCGGAGACCAAGACGGCCGTGCTGGAGCACATGGAGGAGCTGCAGGAGCACGTCAACCAGGTGGGACGTGGGCGCGTGGGCAGGAGCTGCTGACGCAAGCCCCGAGGGAGGGACGGGGATGGGGCTGAGCGACGTCACCTCATTCCCCCGCAGTTGACAGAGAAGCTGCAGGATGCGGAGAACGACTCCATGGCCAAGATAGCGGAGCTGGAGAAGCAGCTGAGCCAGGCGCGGCGGGAGCTGGAGGCGCTGCGGGTGAGCACCCGTGGGTGCTACGGTGCTGGAGGAAGGGATGGGTGCCTGGGGGAGCGGGGTTTAAGGGGTGCAGTGGGACACCAGTGATGTGCCGGGGCTTGTCACCACTGCAGGAGCAGCTGAGCCCACCGCGGCCACCCAGCCCACCGGCCCCGCAGCCCCAGGATTCCTACCGGCTGGCGCTGGAGCGGCGGCTGGCGGAGCTGGAGGAGAAGGGGTTGGTGCAGATCCTGCGTGGGCCTGATGGAGATGTCGCCATCGAAATTGTCCCCGTCGTCATAGAAACCCCAGCAGCCCCCGTGGTTACCGGAGAGGCCACCACCACCAGCACCGCCACCAGCACTGCCACCGGCACAGGTACCACGGGTGCGGGGGGACGGTGGCAGCCCATGATGTCCCCTTCCCAGTGGGGACACCCGGCACAGAGGAGGGGTGGCAGCGTGTCTCTGGGGAGAGAAACTGAGGCAGGGGTGTGGGGATGTGCCCAGGGACGCGGCGTCACTCGGTGGCAGAGGGAACGTGGCGGTGGCACCGTGCCCTGCTGTGCCGCCATCTCACCCACGTCTTCTTTCCGTTGCAGATGCTCCGGCTCTGGCTCCGG